CCCACTTTCAACTCGAGAACCAGAAAAGCTAGAAGGCTGAAACTTTGGGAGTATGTGTCCATACCATGCGCGACCCTCCGATTTTAATATCACCCCCCGCGGATGCCTGGATGCCACGTACGGACGCTTTAAAAAAAATGTGCAAATATTCTGGCGGGAAAGCGACCTCGGGGATCAGATAAGGTAAGGGGCTGAAACTTTGCAGGATTACTGCCTGTGCATGTGCTAGGTAAAGATTTCAAATTCAGCCCCAGGTATGCGTGGTACTCACGTAAGGGCGTATGAAACTTTCGGCGGAAAAGTTATTAACTCGGGAGGGGAGTGTTCCTTTCCAAGCACAACTTAAGCGTTTCAACTTCTGCCTTGAGGTATGCATGGTTCTTAAGTACGGGCACTTGAAAGTTTTGGCGGAAAAATTTCTCACTGAACAGCTAGGTTACTTTTAAAGAACGACCGTTGGAAATTGCACATTTATTTTTTGCAAAATTTATGGTGATTTATGCTGGTGACCGCAAAAGGTAGGTGTAAAAGCATGAACCATTAATGCAGTTAATGACCTGAGTACTTCAAGTTCGGTGCAAAAACTCATGATCGCACGGGCCCGCCCGGTGCGTTCCAGCCTGGGTTCTAAATTTAGATTCAAATCAGAGCTTGCTGGCTGAAACGGCCGCACAGCTGGAGCAAAGGAAATAGGGCAAATGAGTGGCAACAACAGGAATGGGAGAAGAGGGTCGAACAAGGGCTGAAGACAAAACGCGAAGGCTTGAGCTGAAAGTACTTTAAATTCAGAAATCTTGCTTGGAATTGTCGTGTGCTCGGGCTGTTATCAAATTATTGATTCTAGGCCCTGGATAAAGATATTGGAAATGGTTATGAGCACCTTGCATGCGAGCGAGAACAATTACAGCGAACGCTGTCTGCACTGAAAGCTAGCGAATATGGTCTGGAAGATGAGCAATTTTTACGGGATCAGTTGATTTGTGCACAAGCAACAATCGCCCAACAGCAGATGATCATCGAGCAGCATCAGCTACAAGTTAGCTTGTTTCCAGCTTTGAAAATTAAAGCAGAATTGCTGCTTGCTTTTAAGAGGTTAAATTTAAATGGAATCCAATACACTGGCCCGGAGTTTTCGATTAGAAAAAGCACCGTCTTCAAAGCTATTCATTCGCCTTGTCCATCGCATTGCAGAACTCACCTGCTTCATCACTCGGCTATTTCTCTAAAATCATTTCTGTAAAATTTTTCCCTAACGTTAGCAGTAGTTCTAATTAGAAAATGCAACCAGTGCCAGTTGCCTCTGTGCTTTTCTTGCTCTGTCGGAGCTTTTAGAGCACAGGAATCAGTGCTGTTTTGAACATTTGGGGCAATTTTAAAGTGGACCAGCAATACTTATCTTTGAAATCTGAATTTATCGAATTTTTGACAAGAATCTTGCTGTACAGTAAAGTGGTTCTTAAAATTGATCGATTTAAATCGAGATGTGGGTAGCAGCTATTACATGCCTTATGAGACTGAGTTGCAAGCATCCGTTCTAATGTTCACAGTCTGAGCAGTGATTTCGCGCGACGAGTTTCTGAACTACAACTGAAAGAATAGGAATTATACTGGCTGTTACGGAGTAAGCCTTGTTGGGGCTGTGGACTGCTGTTTCGAATGTAAGATCAGAAATGTGCGCTCAATGCGGGTGGAACTTTCCAACATCGGGTCGGGTATAGCAAGCGAAAAGAGGACACGCATACAATCAGTTTTACTTTGCGTGCTAAAAGATGAGGAGCATGTAACTCCAATTAGCGCGGTACTGAGGCTTGCGAGCTAGTTACATTGCTGAGTATTTGAGGATATAGTGAAAACGATCCACATTTCAGACCATCCGTCGGTTAACTTAAGCCGAAACGGCAGTTTTTTTGTTTCATAGTTTCAGGCTAATTCTTTCATTGATACTACCAGTAAAGTGAAACGCGTTTTGCAGCATCGGTTCTTTTACCTACTCGCGCAACTACATCTCGAATCTTGCTACTGACAACAGCAATTTCACTAGAAAAAATAATAAATTAACGCTGATTAGGCACTATTTCGAGATTCAAAACGTTTTATTGTTGAACCAGTTCCCGAATGAAAACATCACTGACCTCTTTTCGCGCAAGATTTGCCAAAATGTTGCATCATCTGGATCATAAAGACTGTTTTCTTTTCTCTTACAGGGGCGACATTTGGATGGAGTTTTGAGTTTCTTCAAAGCACTTAAACTCGAGTTCGTTTCTGCGCTTGTTGCTTCAGCTATAACCTCAAGTGTCTTGTTGCTACCGTGCTAGGCATAACCACAGTCTTTTTCTCTACGTGATGTTTTTTTCATTGGCCTTAATTTATATGTCGTTAGCAACTGGGTTAAAAGTTCAGTCTTTACCTGAATTCGTTATGTTAAACAGGAGAATAGAGGTATCCTTCTCTGAAGTGATTTTGTTTAGAACTGCGCTTCTGAAAATCCCAAAAAAAAAAACGAACTTAATCTGCTAAAAGAGTTGCATAGTTAGGGTCTTGAAAGCATTCTGATTTCCCAATCACGTTTTTTTTGGCTAGTGAAAAATTTTGTAGTATTTTATTAATGTAATTGATTTGACTACTTTTTGCATAGATGGAGCGTTCATGATACGTGCTATTATCACAGAGTGCAAGCAAAACTGATGATAATTATGAATGATAAAGGTAGAATAACTCATCACGGCCATTACTCATACAAATAAGTGAGAAGGTGGGTTAGCTTAAATAGTAACTGTGTTTGCTGGGTCGGAAAGGTTATGATATATTAATTTTACAGGCTAATTGAGTCTCCAATCATAACAGAGTTGTTGTGTCTGTCATGACAATATTGATAACAACAAGCAACTCAGTAAATGCAGTCACAGAAAATGCTTTTTATTTTTTTCTCATTTTAAAGCAGTTTAATTTAATTTTGCATGTTGCTGAATCAAAAGCTTCTAGCTCAGTGCTTTAAATGCTTATTTTATCTCAAATAAATTATTCGAAATTAACACATTCAGATAGTTTTTCTCGTCTGCCTACATTAAGCCTACTTTTTGGTTGAATCAGTGAAAAAATATGTGCATGTAGTGGAGAGCCGACGTAATTATACGTTTGCGACCAGCCGCTGTAGATATATTAAGTGGATGAATACGTGAGTACATGCAGAAGGTGGCCACTGCTATGTGCTCTGATAATTTTTTCGCATACGGCTGATGTGCCACGTTACCTGTAAAGCTTTCAGAAGTTATATCAATCTAAATTAGCTTCCAGAGCTTTCAGAAGTTATATCGGTTACATCAACCTAAATCTCATTTCAGATAGCAGCCTAAAATTGGGCTTGCGATCACCCTCTGGACGTGATTAAGTTCAAATCCAGCTCACCTTTCCACGTTTTTTAGTAAAACGAACAGCGTGCTCTTCCCTTCCAATCCTGTTTTCTCTTGTAATCGCCGTGTTGTCTTGCACGCAGCTCATTTGACGGAGGGCCTGATTGCTAATATGGTCACGAAAAAACAAACATCCATCATTTCAATGCTATCTCAGTCACAGGCAGCGTTCGCTGTTTGGTTTTCTTCAGTGACTACCTTTTGCAACCGCATATCACTGCTACACAGCGTTAATGAAAAGATGGGCTTGCTTCTTTCAGTTCGAAACACTGCGAGCATCGACTAAACTGTGAAATTTGCTCCAACTTGCAGCTCATCCAGTTGCAGTCTCTGGCTGAAGTTTAAGAGGCACATCTACTAGTCAGGACCATTTATCTGTAATCCGTTCGTGACACCTTAATTTTCCTGCGTTAATTTCCAGGTCCATTTCCTTAATTCGTGCCTAGTCTGCTGAAATATCACATTCATTGCGCGAACTCTCGTAATGAGAGCTATGCAGTTTGTGAAATGTAAATGGTCGTCATTTGTGTTCTGTTCTACAAATGATGCGCGTCGCTGTTTTTTTTTTTTTTTTTCATGGCCAAATTGTGACCTCAAACGAAGTAGATGCTGTGTGATGATAAGAATATATGCGTTACACAAAGCGTTAATTACAAATTTTTGTAGCCTTAACAAGTGCTTAATCACTGATAAATGCTTTATTAAAACTTTTACAAATACTGATCAATGAGCTGAAGTAATGAGTGTCAAATTTTTGCAACAGTGCATGTGTAATGCGATTTGTGATGCCGCTGTATTTTTTGGCTTAAAACATTAGGCAATAAAAAAATTCACCATTTAGTCTGAAAACACGATGGAACTGCTGGATACAATCTCCAGACTGCAGGATCAAATCACGGAGCTACGCTCCAAAACGGAAACTATGGAAGCGGAACTGATAGAGTCGAGGGAAATGAACGATTTGCTGGAATTTCAGCTTTTGGAGAATAAGGAGAATATGGCGCATGAATATGAGGTGTGGCGCTTTCCCTGATTTTCCTTTTTTTTTGTGGAATTTGCTGATTCTAACCGTTTCTTGGCTGTGTTTGCAAATCGTGTGCTGATTATTTGATTTGATGATTCACTCAGCTTTTTTTGGTCTGTTTATTAAGAAATTACGGTATTATCAATAGACTGCACATCTGTGGTATGCCATTCTGCGCCAGTTTGGTCTGTGAATAGTGGTCAGTGAAAGGCCGGACAACAATGTATGCCTTTCATGGCTGTACTCATGAACAATTGCCTTAGAAGCATTGGAGGCTCAACAGCAAATACACGAGCAGCTCGTATTTATTCCCGCAGAATAATTTATTTGCTTTTGTCATATCACAAAACCACAGTCTCTGAAAAAAAATCACCCTTATTTTGTAAAGCACAGAAGCTAAAAAATGTGGGGGATATTTCAGTCATATTTATGTCCAGGCAATTTATCAACTGCCATAGTTCAGGAACAGCATGCACTTAATGAGAAGAAAAATATGCAAACAATGACGGACGCATGGATTAGCGAAAACGATGACTGTGCCATTTCTAGTCAACTGCCATCTACTCTTGTAAGTTTTTTTTAATACATTTTCGCATTATTTAGGCGCAACACGTTGAGGCAAGGTCATACTCATGTGTGTGTGTGTGTGTGTGTGTGTGTGTGTGTGTGTGTGCGTGCGTGCGTGTATGTGTGTATTTGCCTGTAATTCATTTTCGGGCCTGTAAAAGCTAGGAAACTGAATTTTTTGTACCATATTACTCGCACTTATGTGTGAGGCCATAAAATCAACTTCTGTCTCCTTCTGTTCCGATCTGTGGCTCAGATCGAAACTAGACCAATTTTATAACTCAAGTATCAAGGTCACTAGGAGTCTGAAATCTTTGAAGTTTAATTCCTTTTGTATTTCGAAAATTTTACAGCTTAGTATCCAGGGAAGCTACAAGCTAGAATTTGGAAGTTCTAATTCGCTATACAATCTAAATCAAATGCTAGGAGATCATTCCTAAGCTCTGTCGCCTCCAACCTCAGTTCACGTGAATTTCTCATCCTGAGAGCAGTAAATTACACTAGTTAAAGATTTCCTTATATTAATCTACTAAATAGTTTGGGGCAAAAAACAAAAGTCAGTTCTCAGGCTTTATTTTTCCATAACCCACGATCTCAAGGTTTGTAATTTCTGTCCTGAGTCTTGCAAATTCTAGACCCCGCAACAGCTTTTAATGAATCACACTGATCTTCTACTCTGCTGTTTACGTTGTCGTTAAAGTATTTCAATGCGAAAATTACTTTTTCCTTGCTGAAACTGCAAAAAAAGCTTGTGCTGGCTCTACAGTTTAGAAACAGCATTATCAAAACCGTAGCTAAATAGCTAACGCATGAAGTTGCTTATTTGAAGCATCCTTTACAGCCTAGGAATTTTTGGCTATTTTTTAGTCAGATAGCACTAAATTTTCACGGTTTGGATTTGGAAGTATTTATCAGAGCTACCAAAATGCATAATTCGAAAAGACTTTTAGTAAAGATATTCCTTTGTAGAACTTTGAAGAAATTCGAAATCGGAAGTGTGATTTTGTCAATTTGCGTCGATCAGCAAGTTTGAACGATAACGAGAGGAGAATTGTTCAACAAATGTTAACTTACATTGAACACTTGGAAAACGTACGTCGCGTTCTTTCTTCGCAGATTACAAGCAGATAATTGGGCCGCGACGATAATATCTCTGTGTCCTCCTGTCCGCCCGTTTAATCCAAATTTCGAGATGCCAAAAGTAAAAAAGTCAAAAATCCCTCTCGTATTTGCTCTCAGTGAAAGGCGCAGGCGTTCGAGGAGTAGCCCAAGTGGGTAAGCAAATGCAGATTGCTGAAATCTCGAGGACATTGTCGCTGACGTTGTATAGGCCTCAACATGAGACCAATGTTCAGGTCTTTCGCTCTCCAGACTTACCGATTCAGATCCAATTTAGGCTGTTTTCATAATTTAAGAAAAAAGAAAGTAGCGAGCTTTAGATCTGAGAATTTCATTCACCGGGGACCTTAGTGCTCACCTCTCTGTACTTATTTTAGCACTTCTACCTTGATATTTCTACGTTTTCGTAAAGTCTTTTTCTTTTCGACTAAATATCACGCCCTTCTGATGGTCGTTTCGTGTATTTCTTTTCCACGTATACGATTTAGTGTCATCGGTGGGCCGGAATCCAGCCTCTGTGCACTTTGTCTTTCATCTCCCTCCCCTCACTCATAACTGACCTTTTCAATCCTGAGCGTTCTGAGAGTAGTGTGATGTGCTGTTCGGGCATAGGGAGTAGAACTCTTATAGTAGAAAAAAGTGCAAAAAGTTGAGCCAAAGTGTACAAAAGTTGATGGGCAGGACGGAGTGTTGACCAAAGGGAAATTTTTAATCAGACTGGGCAAATAGGCGCAAGAGCATTAGCCAGCACGAAAATAATTGTCTGGCTGCTTTAAGAGTAGAAAAGCGAGTCCGGAAACGCAAAACGCAGTCTTTTTCATGACGGAAATTATGAAAAGACATAGTTTTGTACCGAACACCAAAACTGAAGTGTATTTTCCTCCTCCCGTCTTTCACCTCTTCCGAGCTGAATCCTGCACTAATGTTCACTGCCGAATTGCGCTTTCGGTCCTGCATAAATTATTACAGCTGAAAGTCGAGATGGAACAAAAACTAAATGAGTGTATTGCGAAAGAAGTGGAAAGTCAAAGGAAAATACAAAATCTTCGGGGACAAATTGAAGAATTATGCGTGAAAGAAAAAGAGGAGGTAAGTTTCTAAAGGAAGTTCTCTACTTTTTAAAATTATTTGAAAGCATGCGCATGTTTTGATTTTCGTCCCAGTCCGTCCTTTTGGAAAAGCAAACTGTTTTCTTCTTTTTACCAAAGTTTGCAGTGTGTCAAAATTAGGATAAAAGAAAGTGGAAAGAAACTGGATGACGAAACAGTGCACTGAAATGATTTTTCGCTCAATTAACCAGTAATGCATAGCCAAGCAGAAGTAAATATTACGGTTTGTTTTGAAAGCACGTGTAATGATTTTGCAGGTTTTGCAATCGCAGTTAGAAGCAGCACATAAGAGGGAGCTGGAGTTGGAGAAAGAAAAGCAGGAAGTTCGTAATTTTCAAACTTTTTTGCATAAATTAGCGTGTGGTGAGGCAGTGTATCCAACTGGTTTAACATTTTGAGGATGTCAACGACGCATTGAAATTTGCGTCAGCTGACAGTCACCAATATCGAGGATATCCAGACCATCCGGACTGTCATCATGGTTATCCCAAGTTCGTGATGTTACTGCGATGTCAAGCATAATCGCGCCAGGTTCTTCAGTTCTGCGCTGCATAGCTCTAGTTAGTACATGCCACCTGTTAGATGTATGTGCGACACATCCTTTGAGTGATTGTTCGCTTTTTTATGGATACTGCTTGATGCCTACCGATTGCCGGCAAAGTGAACAACATGGCCTGCTTAAATTCCTATATATATATATATATATATATATATATATATATAT